GCCCATGGCCCCTGGTCTTCACCAGGTACCTTCTGCGTTCGCTAGCGCTCCGAGTCTCTGGGACGCGCGGTCCCGTGGAAGCCCCCTGGGGCCGGGCTGTCTGGGCGCCGGCGCTGGGAGGCCTTCCTGCTTCCCCACCACGACCCCTCCACCTGGGTGAAGGCCTGTCTCGGGCCTAGTCGTGGGCCGGCGTGGAGGGTCCAGTTTCTGAATCTAGATTCCCAAGGGCCGGGCGGGGAGGGGGTGAGCTTCCTAGGGGGCTGGACTGCTGATTGATGCCACAAGTCAGAGGCTTCACCCAGAGAGGTGTAGGAGCAACCTTGAAGTTGCACAGCAAGGCGGAAACCCTGGCTATTAGGCCAGCGGGGATTTAGCTGTCTTATATTACTAGCACTCTCTCGAGGCCTGTGAAGTGAGAGAGCCAAGAACACTGTCGCTATGGTGTACACCGTTTATAACAATTATTTCATTTTTCAGTGTGCACAGCCCCTGCCTTAGGGCCTGCCAACTCGAGAAGACTTTCAAAGTGTGTTTCCTGAGCTCCACGTGTGACAGGGTCAGGGACACGGGGATACAAAGATAGTTCTGCCCTGAGGAATCTTACCTCATAAGGAGACTGGCCTTTGTGGGAGTGACACGGGGAATGGCAAGTGCCGTAGTGGAGGAAGCAGTGCTGTGGGGCCACAGGACCTCACACTGGCCCCAGACTAGCAGGCGTCAGGCCCAGTAGGTTCCTCCAAGTGGACTCAACATAGGGCCACGGTGACTTCACATCCTGCCTTGGAGAGCTCAGCCCACCAGGTGTGGCACAAGTGTAGATTGCCCTTTTGTAATGGCTCTTGGTTTTACCTATTTTCTACTAAAGCTAGTTCCTACCCTCAGTTGAGCGGGGACCAGGTGCAATGGTGCATTCTTGTAATCAGCTATTCTGAAAGCTGAGGCAGGAGGATCACAAGATCAGGCTGGGCAACTCAAAAAATGAAAACTCAGTGTACCCAGGGTTCAATGCCCAGTATTAGAGGGTGGAGAGAGTCTCTATCTCTATGTGAGTCTTTGCTCTAGGTGGCAGAGCACCCCTGCCCTCCCCTGGCCCAGGTTTTCACCTTTCAAATCTAGCTCCTGCCTACCACTGAGAACTACCTCTTCCCAGAAGCCACCTCCAGGTAGTACCCTTGGAAAATGATGTTGGCCTGAATCCAAATCAAACTTGTCTAAATGTTTTCATTTAGAAAAGGTTACATTCTCAAACTCCTTGTAAGATAGCAAATGTGGGGCTGGAGATTTAGCTCAGTGGTGCTGCCACCTGCCTCACAAGAGCAAGGTCCCGAGTTCAATTCCCAGTACCACCAAAAAAAAAGCAAATGTATACAGTCATGCCAAACATCACTTTATAGAGAGTTTAGAATGCCTATACGCTAAAGCATGTGTCATTTGGGACATGTTTCACCTCCATTTCCTGCCTAGGATAGACCCCATCCTGAGACCCCAGTTTGGTTGACCAAGAACCAATACAAGTAAAGTGGAATATTGTTATCTAAAGCATTATATTTTAGGATAAGAGCTGGCAGAATTCTGGGCCTCTGAGTGAGCAAGAGTCCCAGTCATGGACTCCTTGCTAAGCATTTGCAATTCAAGTAGTAAACACAGTCTGCTGTGCTCATCTTCAAGGGGCAGGGTATGACTACTGATCTTTTGGGGGTTCCTTTCACCAGTAGTTTTTTAAAGGTTCTAAAATTTTTCAAGGTATTATACTGGAATCCATTAGTTCACACAGAGAAAGCAGGTGAGGAAAGCTCAGAAACAATACAGAAAAAAATACAGCAGAGTTATCTTAATTTATATTTTTGCAGTGCTGGGGATTGAACCCAGGGCTTAGTGCACTGTATTATTGAACAACACCCCCAGTCCCTGGAGCAGGATTCTTAACAAATGAAACACAAACCATGCAACTGCTACTCAAGAAACCAGGTCTCTGCCTGTCATTTGTCACTGGGGATAACTGGTTCTTTTTTGAACTGATACCAAGATTAAAATGCTGTCAAGTGAACTTACAGACAGAAAGTATCAAATCTTCCCCTTCTCGGGCCAGGGATTTAGCTCAGTGGTTCCAGTGCCTGCCTCACAAGTACAAGGGCCCAAGTTCGATCCCTAGTACTCCCCTACAAATCTTCCCCTCCTCCATAAGCAGCCCTTAAGAAAGATGTTTGTGTAGGAAAACCTTCAGCAGAGGCCTAGTTGAGGTCGCTTTTAGAGGTTTGGCTCTTAAATCCAAATGAGAACCTCAACAGCTCAGGCAGGAAGGAAGTGAAATCAGCCCAAGCAAGACTAACTCCTCCTCATGCCTTATAGGGTGGCAATGAAGATTAGATATACAGATGCTTGGAACAGAAGATATGCTCCTAAAGTGACAGTTAACTGTTTTGATTTTTGAGTCATTCAACAATTATTTAATGAGGTACCTGCATGTTCCAAGAGTTACCACAAAGCACTGGGAGAGATAACACAACAACAACAAAAAAGGACCATATATACTCAAAAAGTAAGAGAATCCAGGCCTAATTGCACACCCCTATAATCCCAGCTACTTGGCAGACTGAGGCAGGATAGAGAATTTAGGGCCAGCTTGGGGATTTGATCCCCAGCACTGAAAAAAAAAAAAAGTTTAGCTGTGTAAATAAGGAGAAAAGTGGAACAAGCTTAGGGAGGAAATGTGTAGGATTGATAGGGGACATCAGAGTATATCCCTGCAGGGATGGGGCCAGCTCCATGCAGACCTCTAGAAGTAGGAAAGATAGGGCATGTTTGGGGGGCCTAAAGCTATCCAGGATGAGGAAGGAAGGGAGAGGGCTGAGGTGTATTGGGTTAGTATGAGGGGAAGCCTTTGGAGATTAGAGCAAGGATAAGGATGGTGAGATTTGCTGGCTGCTGTGGGCAGTTCCACCCAAGGTCAGGCCCAGGATATGGGTGATGGATGCAAGTCATCCAGTCCGTAGCACCGAGTACACCAACTGGTCTCAATCTGGGCAACTAGAGGAGAAAGGGCCAATTGGGGAAGTGAAGAAGCAAAAGCCAGACGGCAGCTGTTGGTTCACAGTACACATGGATTCCATCTGGACATAGGTGGAGACCCTATCTCTTGGCAAAGGAGGAGAGCTCCCCAGCTAGTTGATGAGGAAGCTGGGATGGGTGAGAAGAGGGGTAGCTTTTGGGAGTCTAGAGGGATGCAGCCTGGGAACACACATTTGATGTGATATTCCTATCTTCTCTTTCCAGCAACGAAAGGACAGGTTCCATCTTCCTGGAGCAGAGCTTTAGCTGTACACATGATGTGGCGAGCCACCTCTACAGGACTGGAGTTACAGAGGAATCAGGAACCCCTGACTTCAGGCTCTCAGCCCTCCTTGGCTTCCAAGGTACTTCTGTCTCCCAGGATCAGTAATGGAAAAGTCCGCAGGCAGGAAAAAGACAACCCAGGCCCCAAAGGATGAAGTGGTTGTTCAAGAGGCCACTCTCAAAGAAGAGAAAGCATCGAGTGGGAAAAGGCCAAACAAGAGGTGCACAGGGGCCAGAAAACACCGCAAAGAGCCGACTCTGAGCCCTGAGGATGAAGCCCATCTCTTTGATGCCTTTGATGCTTCATTTAAAGATGACTTTGAGGGGGTGCCTGTTTTTGTTCCCTTTCAGAGGAAGAAACCCTATGAGTGCAGTGAATGTGGACGGATATTTAAGCACAAGACAGATCACATTCGCCATCAAAGAGTTCACACAGGAGAAAAGCCCTTTAAGTGCGGTGAGTGTGGGAAGACCTTCCGGCACAGCTCTGATGTCACTAAACACCAGAGAATTCACACTGGTGAGAAGCCCTTTAAATGTGGGGAGTGCGGGAAGGCCTTTAACTGCGGCTCCAACCTCCTGAAACACCAAAAAACACATACAGGTGAGAAGCCCTATGAGTGTGAGGAGTGTGGAAAAGCCTTCGCCTATAGCTCCTGTCTCATTCGCCACCGGAAGCGCCACCCGAGGAAGAAGCACTGAGCAGGCAGTGCCCTGTGGCACTCTGAGTTTGTGCTTATGCACCATGGCTTCTCTCATTCCTGGAAGCCCCAAGGGTCATGTACAATGTACCGGGTGTGCCTCTGACTACCTGGCTCTGTCATCACTAGAAAAATCCACCTGTCAGGCATGTGAGCAACTAAGCCAACAGAGGAAATCTCTGTACCAAGACAGTGATAACACAGAAGCTCCCCAGACTCATTGCAACTCCACTCATTTTCTGAAATACTCCATACCACTTGGGGCTCAGCACCAGAGACCAATGGCACAAGCCCTGGAACACAGCAACACCCAACAGGAGCAGCACCCACCGCTGGTGAGGACCCAGCGCCTCCTACTTCTACATCAGCCCTTCCGCCAGCACATCTAAGGACTCTAGCCTGTGGACACTCAGCCCCCTGGCTCTCTGAGCCCAGCCCTATGCAGCTGAGAATAGCTGGGACCTCATGCTGGATAGCAGTGCTCTGTAGTGAGCTTAGGGGACACTGGGTGGCACCAGTTCTCACTCATTCCTACACAGCTGGCCTCAGTGATTGTCCTGTGATTTGTTTTCCGGCTTCTTTCCTTGGGCTGGATCACCAGTCCCTGAGTTCAGGCTTTGTCCCCAGAACTGGGCCACATTGTGTGCCCTTCTGCCCTAGCTGTCATCTCAAATGGGCAGCCTGACTCACCTGGATCATCTCATTGGACACTGCCCTTGAACACTGCCACCATGGGAGATTTCTTCCCCAGACAGGAAGTGGGACCCAGGGTGCCGTCAGCCCCACCATTGGCAGCTTTCATGCACTTGATGGTCAGACATAGCTGTGGCCCTTCCCAATGGTGGCCCTCAGGTTAGTGCCGCTTCTCTGTCTCCCCATGTCCATCCTACCCCAAAGCAAGTTCACATGGCTGTGCTGCCCTCGGTGTCCCAAGAGTGATCTGGATGGGACTCTGCTCTTGGGTACTGGTTTGCAAGAGAGTAGCAGAGTAATGTTGCTGACCAGGAGGCTTTTTATTGGGAGAGTGTTGGCACCTGTTTTCACTGTTTGGACATAAAAAAATTAATAATGGCCTTAGTCTTTGGGGATTCTGTCCTAAAAGAAGGGTCCCTGGCTGGAGATGGGCTTGTTCATCAAGTAGTCATAAACTGGGAAGCCAAGATGCAGTCTTTACCATTACTATTGGCATCCTCCTAAAAGCTGTAATATTAAATACCCCTGCATGGGCAGTCCTAGCCACCTCTTATCATGGTGGTCACAGTTGTAAGGCTGCCACCCTTGAGAAGTGGCCCACGGCAAGCCTCCTTCTCACTTCCAAGAGCACTCTAATCCCTGTGCTCGAAGCTCTGCTTTCAAAGTGCATCTCTCCTCCCTGACCACACCTTGGCCAGTGGCCCAAGGAGCCCCTTGTGGCTGATAGGGGCCTGGAACATTGCCCATAGCTGTCTTATGAAGAGGCTGCTTGGATCCCTGCTCCCTTAAGCCCATTTTACAGATAAGTCATACACATCAGTGTCCCTGTGCCATACACACACACATTCACAGCCTAGATCAGGAAAATAAAATTCATGTGCATCCACAAACCAAAGGAAAGTCCACTGCAGGAGTTTAGCCTCTGGACTACTTAACTCTCTCCAGGAGAAGGCCCTGGAGCCCAGCCCATCACCTGCCCACAGCCAGATCTCACCACATAGGATAGCACCTCGCATTCCTGGGATATTCTCAGACCAGGTTTTCCTGGGCTGCAGCCAACTCACTGCTCCAGGGAGACCTTGGTGGCATCACCTGCACCTGTAAGGGGACCTCAGTGGCACCACCTCCACTGGCAGGAGGACTTCAGGTACCACCCTCTTTCACAGAGAAGAACATTCTGAGTAGAAGACCTCTCACCCTGGGATCTCCTTGTTCAGGGTTGTTAGGGGCTGTCCTATCCTACCCAGGCTGGGTCACTTCAGACTGCTGTCCCCAATAGAGAAAACCTTAGTCTCAGAAATGGAGGACCGGGGATTTAGCTCAGTGGTGCCGATTCCTGCCTCACAAGCACAAGGTCCTGAGCTTGATCCCCCGTACCAAAAAAAGAGAAAGAAATGGAGATCAGAGCCAGGAATGTAGTTCAGTGGTGCCATGCCTACCTAACAAGTGAAAGGTCCTGAGTTTGATCACCAGTACTAAGAAAAAAAAAAAAAAGAAATGGAGATTTAATGAGGCAAAATTATGCAAAGGCAGATGTCAGCTGGTATTGGAGACAGGCATACATACATTCATGCTATTTATGGGCCTGGTTTGGAAGAGTTGCCCACATTGCTAGCACAGCTGAAACAGAGCATAATTATCCGTAGGTAGCAGGATGGCATTGGTGCCTCAGCAGCTCAAGCCTCCTAGCCCAGGTCCTGGTTACTCATGATACATGCTAAGATTTTCAGGGGCGGGCACATGCTTTTAGGGGCTGTTTACTTTCAAAAGTTGAGCAAAAACAATATGCGTACCCTGAATGAGTCACACAGCAGATTGGCCAAGGGTCAGCCCCTCACAGACTTAGAGTTGGCATATGTTTTCAGTAAAGAGCCAGATAGAAAATGTTCCTGGCTTTGCAGCTGTGCAGTCTGTCAGAGCAACTCAGCTCCACCATGTGGTGAAACAGCAGTTACAGATGGCACAGGATAAATGACCATGGCTATGAGCCAACTAAACTGTAAAGAACTAGGCAGCAGCCATAGTTTGCCAAACCCTGTCCATGCGAAGGGTGTGTGAGAGTTCAGGCTACAGAGAGCTTTGTGAGCTTTCTACAAGTCTTAAAGTCCTCTAAAACAATTTCATCTAGAGAGGACTGGTCTAGGAAGCCACGAGCCCTAGATGCAGGAAGTGCACTGGAGTCACCGGTAGCAAGGAGCTGCTTGGAGCATATCCTCTGCAGTTTGATGTGGGAGAGTAATGATGTGGACACAGACGTCCATGACATCCCAGAGCACTCAACACCTGCCCTAAGGGTATCTGAATTTTTTTAATTGAATTATTATAGTATTGCAATAGCTTCTTCCCATTACCGTGGGAAGCATCCCTTTTAATGAGTGCAAAATAATCCATTGATTAGAAAAAATGAAGCCAATTTAACATTCCCAAGCCTGGACACCTTGGATGTTTCTGGTGTATATTATAAATAATACAGTAAATGTCTTTTCAACAGTTAGGACCAATAGGACAAGACCCAGATGTGGAATACCATAATGCCGAATACCTTTCTTGTGTTGGGCCACACAGACACCTACAACAGTGTGTAGACAGCAGGCAGTACCATGGCCCTCCAGCAGCTGGTAGGTGGGTTCTTACTTTGGCTTATTCCCTGGGAGAGAAGATATGTGTTTTAACCTAATGTCCTTAATTTCTGGGGAGGATATAGATGGTGGAGAGCAAAGCCCTCTAGCTAGAAGTCTTGGCCTCTGCCTTTGTACCTGTGGGACCTTGGGTGCATCATTAAGCTGACTTTTGCCTCAGTTTCCTCAGATGTCAGATGGGACTCATCCTATAAGGCCACTGAGAATTCATGAACTTGATGTATGAAGCTCTCAGTACAGTACTGATGCTTCAACAAATGCCAGCATGGTGGTGCTTGTCTGTAATCTCAGCACTCGGGAGGCTGAGGCAGGAGGATCACCTCAAGTTCAAGGCTCGCCTAGACTACATAGTGAATTCAAGGCCAACCTAAACTACATAGCAAGCCTCTGTCTCAAAGAAACAAAACAAAAGAAAAATAATTGCCAGAACTTCTCATTCAGATTTTTTGTTTTGTTTTATTTTTTGCTTTCTGTTTTTTGGCTGTACTGGGGATGAACCCAAGGCCTCATGCATGCGAAGCAAGAGCTGTACCACTGAGCCATGTCTTAATGAGATCAAATACTTGTTCACATGAATGGAAGGTAGCCTGCAAGCCAGTGGCCCTAGATGCTTCTGGGGAAGGACTGGAGCTGAATTCAACTGAACAAGCATGGAAAACAGCAAAAAGATTTTTTTAATGCATGAGGAAATCAAAATGTGCATGTGTGTGTGTGTGTGTTTCATAGTTCAGAGAAAAACTCACAACTAGCCAGGCATGGTGGTGCATACCTATAATCCCAGCACTTGTGTGGCTACACTGAGACAAGAGGAACACCATAAGTTTGAGGCCAGCCTGGGCTACATAGTGAGTTCAGGGCTGACCTGCACTACAAAATGAGACCTTGTCTCAAAAAAAACTACACAACCAAACTAGAATCAGCCTGCCATCTCTTGCTGTCACCCTTTTGGTGCCAAGTAGCTTGTTTCCCATTTCTTCCAAGGTCACCATCATGACATCACAGCACTAGCATCAAGATCATTAAAAAAAAAAATCATGGGGCCAGGGATTTAGCTCAGTGGCAGCTCACCTGCCTTGCAAGCCCAAGGTCCTGAGTTCAATCCCTGGTACCAGAAAAAAAAAAAATCCTGTCTTTTAGGTTGACAGGATTGGGGTTTCGTTGTTTAAATGAAACTCACTTTCCAGGAAAAAGACAACTGGAATGATGTGAGCAACAGGAGTGAAAAGTGGGGGCAAGTAATTTAAGGAAGAATAACATAAAGAGCCTAGCAACTCTCATGGAGATGCAACGGATGGTTTCCTCTTTCTGAAGAGACACCAAGCCCAGACAGTGTACAAGTCTGTTCAAGAAACAGCAGCTCCAGTCATACATGAACATGTGAACCAAAGAGAGAACAGAAAACACCCCTTATTTTAGGGAGCAAGTATGACTTCGAAGTCTAAATTACATCTCATTGTGTGACTCATGCACATAGATACAAAAATTGTATCAAAACACCAGCAAACTATATTCAGCAGAACATAACAAAGAATACAGCTGACCAAATCAGGCTTATTTAGAAAGTTTGGCTCCGTGTTGATATAACTTACCACGTTAATACACTACAGGGGGAAAGGAACACCTTACTGTCTAAGTAGCTGCAGAAAACACATTAATCAAAATCAGCATTGTCTTGGAGGCTCTGGCGAGTTCACTAAGGCAGGACTGAGATTTTTTTGCTTAGAGTGGAAAACCCAAATTGTCATAATTAAAAGATACTGTTATTGTCTAGGAATCTGAAAATCACGAACTACTGAAATTATTAGGGGGTTAGCAAGGTTGTCACATAAATGGATGTACAAAAATCAGTTGAGACTTACATCTAATAGAATCAGAAACAGAGACTCAAATGGATACTGGTGCATGGATGCTGAGAGCAGCCCTGGTCACAGTGGTGATAGAGCAGTTGTGGAGTATATACAAGAGTATGCCCCTGGGCTACAGAAAGGGGAAATTTTCATTCATGGATAGACCATGCAAACATGCTTCTTAGTGAAATAAGCCAGATAGAAGACAAGTGGGGATATAGTTTGTCAATAGAGCACTTGCCTAGCATGATCAAGGCCGTGGGTTCAGTCCCCAGCACTGCATGAAGGAATGAATAAAAAGGAAAAGGTTTTTTTGTTTGTGTTTTGAGATGGGGTCTTGCTATGTAGTTCAAGCTGGCCTTGAACTCTCAGCAATCCTCCTGCCTCAGCCTCCCAAGTAGTAGGGTTACAGGCATGTGCCACCACACTAGGTGAAAAATTGATAATTTTCATCATACTAAAATTCACAACTTTCTAGAGAAAGGAAGGGATGTAAAAAGGATTAAGATGTGTTATACACATTACCAACCTCCCATGATGAGGGTAATTATTATGTAGTACAAATATGTGTTGTATTAATTTAAAAGCCCTCATGAATGAGGTTAGTGCTCTTATAAAAGAGACTTGAAATAAAAATTTAAAAACACAACTTCTGCTCACCAAAGGAATGAAAAACTAGATGGCTTTCAGGGAAATGACATTGTGCTCCAAGAGCAGGCTATAACAGAGCATGTGCTTTGCAGTCATAAAATTGTTTTTTTTTAACCTCTGGACACACATGATGGCTACAGACCCCGCACCTGTGGACAGCCAACCTCCTGGAAGTTTCTGTAATCACCCACACCCCTCCCTTTCTGAAAGAGCAGCACCACATGCCAAAGAAGGAGCTGAGAGCCAGAGTCACCTGTGGAGAGCCCAAGACTCCTTTGTGAGGCAAGCAAGAAGTAAGCATATGCTGTACTGAGACCGGCAGGGGGCTGCTTGTCTTCATATCAGGTTATTTATCCTCACCACCATAGCAGCAAGTGACTGGTATTCCCAATATGAACAGCCTAGAGGAATCCAGTGAGTTTGTTACTGATGTTGTTTTGTTTTGTTTTGTTTTATGCAATACTGAGGGTTGACCCCAACACTACTACTGAGCTACATCCCAGCCACCCATCCCTTTTGTGGTACTGAGGTTTGAACCCAGGGCTCTATATCTGCACAAAACTGCATCCTCATCCTTTTTTTTTTTTTTTTTTTTTTTGAGGTAGAGTCTTGCTAAGTTGTTAAGTTGCCCAGGCTAGGTCCAAACTTGTAGTCCTCCTGCCTCAGCCCCCCAGAATACTGGAGTCCAGCACCTTTTTATTTTGAGACAAGGTCTCAATAATTTATCCACACTGCTCTATTTGCAATCCTCCTGCCTTAGCCACCAAGTACCTGGGATTACAGGCATGGGCAACTGCACACCAATAGAAATTCTATTTTTTTTAAAAAAGACAAATACCAAATATACAAAGATTTCACAGAAGAAAATACAAATGGTTTATACACGAGATATTCAACCTCATTAGTAATTAAGAATACAAGTTTTAAAAAAAGAATACAACTTAAAATAACAAAATTGAATTTTTTGCCTGAGAGCATGGTGAAATATACAAGTCTGATCCTTCTGTGTTGGAGAGAAGCTGAGCTGAGGAGCTCTACCCTGGTAAAACAGCCCACGCTACTTAATCAGTCTGGTACTCTACAGCAAGTCAAAGATCTGATTCCCTGTTAACCCAGAAGCTTCATTTATTGGTTCACCCTGGAGGAACATTGGTACATGCACCAAAAAGATGTGTGCAGTAACATCCATAGTGTTCTCCTGGGTCAGGGAACATGAAGGAACCGAAGTGTCATCAAGGAGCAGTGGTCAATCACAGTCTGAGTATAAAGGGAAAGTGACTCAGCAGAGACAAGGAAGCAGCCACAGCATGCCCCAACAGATAGGACACTGAGCAGAGAAGACATACAGTGGGATTTTAATCACTGTAAAGTTCAAACCAAGCAGATTGAATGGCATGCTTTTGGGGCTCTTACATGGTAAAGCTAGAGAAGAACAAAAGAACCTGTGTGCCAGGGTGAAAGCAGGAAAGGATGCATTTCCCAGCCAGGTTGGGGGCGGTGTCATCTCTGCTGTGGAGGTCTTCTACAAGGTTCTTTATGCTTGACCCAGTGCCTGTCCTCGTTTTAGATGTAACACTTGTTTCCCGTGAGTGCTGACTGGATCCACGCTTCCACTGCCCTCTTCCTGAGGGCACCCCATGGCCAAGGTTGCTGATGGAACCAGCTTCCACTTGGCTAAAGCCATTTGCTAGCTTCATCGTTTGCTTTCTCCCAACAAAGGAACAGCACCTCTACTCATTGACTCGGTTTCTCTTTTTCCAGACTGCTAGAGTGGATCACCCCAGCAAGAAGCTCTGATGAGACATGCGTACAAAGGAACCTCAAAAGCAGTAGGAAAGACCCCCACAATCCTGCATTCAAGGAAGGAACAGAGAGGACCAGTGTCTACATGCAGTTCCTTGGGCAGAGGATGCAACAGAGAGGCGGCTGGGGACCTGCACACTGAATGGCTGGCCCCGTGAGGTCAGCTTGATGGCAAGACAGGGTGAGTTCAGGGAGGCCTTTCAGACACAGTGGGCAAAGGCAGGGCCCTTCCTGGTTCCCAAACCAACTTTTCATGAGTGACCAGCAGTCCTTGCTCACTATCAGCTGGTGCCCAGCACTAGCTTCGGACTTTAGTAAGGCCACCCTGCAGAGGCAGTTAAGAAACCCATTCAATTTTCACAACCTTCTGGACATCTAAGATGTTCCCAAGGGGAAACCTGAGACCCCCCTCAACCAAGCATCAGAGTTCTCGTTGCAGGAAAATGTTTAACCAAAGCTAGAAACGTCCTAGGAGTATGAGGTGTCCACAGCGGTTAGGGCCTATTACCTGGGCAGCATAACCTGAACCGCATGTCCAGCAGACACTGTCTCCCAAAGCCTTGACCTGCAGGAAGAGCATGGCCAGCAGAGCTGCAGCTGGGCATCACATGCAGAGAGTCTCTGCCAGAGACCAGGCTTTGAGTGTCCCTCCAAGTGCTCTGTGACCCTCACTTGCATCTGTTGTCCCTGAAGCCTCATCCCAGTTGGGCAGGAAGGCAGAAACCATCTCTTGGGAGAAGCAGGAGGTGAGCATGTTGGAGAGGGGACCCTCCCTTGGGACCAACATCTCAGGGACACAAACCCAGCTGCACAGTGCCAGGGCCTCATCTGCACAGGGAGGGACAAGGCTGACCAGTGAGGCAGACTTAGCCCAGACTGAGTCCACTTGTTTCCTGACAGGCTGTGATCTCAGAGTGCACATGAGCTTCGTTTCTAGTGACCTTGCCAGTCCCTCCCAATTTGGGCACCAAGATGTAATTGTTCCTTTTCTGTAAAAGTGGGCTGAGACACCAAGACATGCTGCACAGGAAGGCAAACCTGGAGGAGGGAGGGGTCTCCTGGGCCAAGGTACACGATTTGTGGCTTCTGGGGAGACTCAAAAAAAAAGAGGATAGGGTGGACTTCCAGGTGGTGTGGACAAGGAGCTGGGCCCCTGTGCCATTAGTTAACTTCAGGTTAGGATACTGCTCTTAGCATCAGGAGAGCCTTCTAGAGCCTAGTGCCTCAAGAGGTTATTTGCTCCTCACTGGTTTCCTCCTCAGTCACTAGCTGCATGGTCAGTGCACTGAGGACAAGCAGATTTTCCTCACCTTGACCAAACCTTGGCTGTAGTGACACCCAAGTTGGCAATGTTGCACTGCAGATGGCTCTAGAGAATCTCTGGACCTGCACAGGGTTCCTGCTGCCTCTGGGCCCAGCTGCCTGTCCATGTCTCACCTCAGCCTGGTTGAGGGGGCTGTTGTTTCCATCTTTGTACCTCTTCGCTTTCCTGTGGTTCTAACTCCTGGTGTGGCTGAACCCTTGGCATGTCCTTACATCCTCTCATGAGATGTGTGTCCTGCTCTTATTTCAAACCGCAGTGACTAGTGTGTTGTGAACAACTTTTGACAGCCATGGTTATGGTCTCTTGTGTTGTGGCAGATACTTTCCTAGTGTGATGTTTCCCAGTTACATCATCCAAAAAATTTAACTTCCAACTCACCTAAGTTGTTAAACTTTACTTTCATACAATATCTTTAGTCTGTAGTGTGAACATTGGGACATTCTATTTGTCTTTGGCATAGGTGCCACTTTGTATGTGGTTCCCTTATCCTGTGGATTGCTGTACAGGTCCCCACATTGCCTGCAGCGACCCCGTGATACTCATTAGCAGACACTAACTTTCCTACTGCTTATGAATATTTTCTCACAGAATAAAATGTCTATTTCTAACTCGCTTCCTGTGTTCCATTGATTGAGAGTTCTCCAAGGAGGCTACTGTCTTCTTCCCCCAGAAGAATATGGGCATCCCTGTCTCCGGTGTCTGGGGATGCTTCAATAACAAAAATCACACCCCTCTCCAGTGACAAAATACCTCCCCACTTTTCTGGCACCAGGGACACTAAGTTGGAGTTCAGCCTGTTAATTCATGCCTGCAGTCAGGATCTTGAGGGAGGCCTGGGAGATGTCCTGGACTCTGCCCTCCGACCCTGTGGTCAGTGTTATCCAGGCTTCTGTGCCTTTGCTCACTCACAATTTTTTTTTTTTTAAGACAGGGTCTCACTATGTAGTTCAGGCTGGCTTTAAACTCACTATGTAGCCCAGGCTAGCCTCAAACTCGTGGCAGTCCTCTTGCCTCAGCTTCCAGAGTTCTGGGTTTATGGGTGTGTATCACCACACCCTGCTACCTTTTGTGTTCTTAACAGGGCACAGTCCTGTCCTCCAGAGGACACTTGGCAATGTGTGGGAATAATTTATCACAAGTGGGAGGACTCAGTGGGTTGAGCCAGGGGCACTGTCAAACACCCTACAACACACAGGCAGTCCTGACAGCAAACAAACCAGCCCCAAAGTCGCTACTGCCACAGGTGAAGAATGCCGAGTTAGACCCAGAAAATTAAGTCAGCAACTGAAACATGATTCACAAGCACATAGAAGAACCCAAGAAACTTCTGAAATTTTAGAAGATAAGCCATCTGCATGATTCTGTGGTCTCTAAGACATATTTTGCCTTTTTTCTAATCCCAACTCCCCACAACCCTAAAACTGATTTTTTCAAATGCACATCCATTAGGAGGCTGAGGCAGGAGGGTCACTTCAACTCATAAGTCCAAGGCTACTTTGGGCAACATAACAGGACTGTTTTTAAAAAACAAAAATTGGGGCTAGAGATATAGCTATGTGGTAGAGCACTTATCTAGCAAGCTCAAGGCTCTAGGTTTGAGCCCCAGGCGACACCCCAATAAAGCACTTAAGACCCCCTCCCTCCTCTGCTCAGACTACAGTGGCTCCCTGTACAGCCAGAACAGAATCCAAGCTCTCCATAGGGCTTTGAGACAGCCACTGTCCAGTATTCTGTTGGGCAAACTGAGTGTGCGCAGGTGTTCTAATTGCAACAAAAGAGCAGCTCAGTGGCAGAGCACTTGCTAGCATGTACAGTTTGTGGGTTCAGGTCCCCAGCTGTGCAAAAACAAAAGGACCCAGCTTTTTCTCTTCCATACTTAGAAAGAGTAAGTCCAGGCAATGGGGTTGGGATGGGGGGCTCAGTTGTTTGTTTTTTGAGACAGGGTCTTGCTTATAGTTCAGGCTGGCCTGGCACTATGTAGCCCGGGCTGACCTCCAGCTCTTGGCAATCCTCCTGCCTCAGCCTTCCAAGTGCTGGGATTACAGGCATGTGCTACCACATGTGGCAAGAGAACTCTAAATTATGGATGAGTCCTTTCCAGGCATATGCTTTATATACTTTAGAATTTCTTACTCATCTGTGATCCCAGCACTTGAGAAGCTGAAGCAGGATAATCACCACAAGTTCAAGCCACCTGGGCTACATAGACTCTGTCTCAAAACAAAAAACAATCCAAACAGGGTCATAAACTGAATGGGTTTCAGGGCCACCGATGTTTAGTATAAAAAACTTTGTAGTCACTGTGAGTATCCAAGTAAAACCCTGAGTCCTGCCTAAAATGTTTTCAGGTTCCGTTAAATACAAAGTATGGTGTTATGCTCTGACTCAACGTTCAAAACCTTCCAATGTGCTTCTGCCCACCCACTTCTCTCACCCCCAAAGTCTGCTAGTAGCTGGGCCTAGCCCTCCAGGTGCCTCACTCAGCAGTGAAGCTAAAGGTTAGAAACAGAGTCTCCCGCATACAACCTCCATCCTGGGAAGCCAAGGTCAGATGTGTGTGCTTAGGACACACACACTGACCATACCCTCAGGACCTCCCACTCGGGTCAGAAAACCCACTGCCCTGCTGAGGAAACCTTTGTGTTAATGCCTAGGAACTATTAGTGCCTGCAGAGATTTCCCTTACTCCTGGAAACAACCCTCAGGTTTACGATCCACTGACTCCAGGGGCAACCCTGGCTCTAAGAGGACAGCAGGCCGTGAAACCGGCTTCCACCTGCACAGGTCTCCCTTGACAGATACACAGCAAACCAGCAGATCTTAGCTCCCGAGCCCCTCCCCGGGAGCCTGGCCAGCTCAGACACTTCTGCTGTTTACTTCTATTTGCCGACTCCAAAGCTAGCCTAGAGTCCAGCCCGCGCAAGCTTCATGGGGCATAAAAGAGCAGCCCCCAGAGAAAGGGCTGACCAATGCCCCGGCCTCCGTGTGACTTGGCGAGGAGGGCAGAAGGGGCAATCTACAGCTCGCTCTCCCGCACTAGAGCCCGATCCATGTTGAGGTCCTATGTTGTCTCGTTTGCTGTGCGCCAGAGCCCGATGGACCCTGGTAGATTCAGGAATGGCTCAGTCCCCTTCTCCCGACCAGAGAGGTCTACGAGGGCAGCGACCCTGTCCAGGCCGAGTCCACTACCCCAAGGAAGTGCTGCCTCCCGAACTGCCCAGCGCTCGCGAGTCCATAGGACTTGGTGGTCGCAAAGGCTACCGAGGCGCGGTACTCCGGCGCCCAGAGCGTCCCGGAAGCGCAGGAGGCTGGGCGGGCGAGAGG